GGTCCCTAGACAGGAGACAATCATCACCTGACATCAAGCAGACTTTAGTCACTTGTTATAAAAGTTCTTCTTTATTTTAGAGCCTCACCATCTGCCCTGGAGGTCCTTGTCTTCCTGGTTCACCTTTAGGTCCCTCTTGTCCTGGCATACCCTTTGGACCCAATAAGCCCTCAGGGCCTCTGGGACCCACGGCTCCCTGCAATATCAGTATTATTTGTCCGCTGAAAATCCAGCACTGTAACCAGGATTTACCTTGAAACGGTTAGCCGTACTAACCTGAGTTCCTGCCTTCCCCATAACCCCTTGTAAGCCTCTCTGCCCAGCTATTCCCTGCAGATGAAACAAAAACATAATGACTTTAATTTGGCATTGAGAGGTTCCCCTCAGTTCCTGTAATCTTATATAGCAGCCGATATGTATGCAAAAAGGGCAGTGAGACGAATGTGGCTCATGTTTTTGTTCCCAGTTCACAATTCTAACGTTACTTTACCCAAACTGTTGTATGATGGAAAACAGTCATTGATTTTACCCGATTGCCTTGATCTCCTGGATGGCCAGGCACCCCAGGTGATCCAGTTTTCCCCTTTTGAAACAAAGAGCAGGTCTGTTACATTAGGAAATGCAAAAGGGTAATCCTGATCTATTACAAGGAATTAATGAAAGAAACTTGAGGAAGAAAAGGGAGTGATACCTTTGGGCCTGGTGAACCATTTTGTCCTGGTGGTCCCCGAAGGCCTATCAAACCCTGCATTGAAAGCCAACTTACAGACTCAACCAACCAACCAACTCCAAAAGTGTGTTCCCCGTCAAAAACTACAATAATGTAAGTTGATTTAGGTGCATCTTATATAAAATCATACCTCTAGACCCATCAAACCAGATGGACCAGTCTTTCCCATCAATCCATTCTGACCCTGGTGAAGAGGCAATCATTATTCAAAGCAATATACACTTCAAAAACTACTATAAATTAACAGTGTAATAATAGTTAGGTAGCCAAAGAGTATGTCCAATAGAAACGAGTTTTGCTCAGCAAGATCACTAACTTGTAGACCAATGTAGCCTTTATTCCCCTTCACTCCTCGCTCTCCTCTGTCCCCCAAAAATCCAGATGGGCCTTGTCGTCCAGAGAATCCCCGATGTCCAGGGTCACCCTGATTGAATAAGAATGTAGTTACTTCACTTTGTGTAGAAACTGGCCATTGTATAGACCTGAATTTTCATAATGTACCTTTTGTCCTTTAGGCCCAGGCTCTCCAATATCACCTGGAGGTCCAATACCTCCCTGTATATGAAACATCATACTCATAATTATTAATTTATTGCAATGAACTTTAAAATAACAAGGACTTTTAAGATATATACACAGCTGTTTGGGGTCGGTAAGATTAAAAAAAAAAAGTTTTTGAAAGAACTCTCTTATGCTCACCAGGGATGCATTCATTTGATCAAAAATATAATAAAAACAATAATGTTGTGAAATATTATTACAATTTTAAAACAACAGTGTTCTATTTCAATACATTTTAAAATGTAATTTATTATTCTGAATTTTAAAGCCTAATTTTCATCAGCCATTGCTCCAGTCTTGAGTGTCACATGATCCTTCAGAAATCATTATAATATGTTAATTTGGTGCTAAAGAAATATTTCTTATAAAAAAAACAACAACAGTTGTGCTGCTTAATATTTTTGTGGAAATGGACATGTATAATGTTACAGAAATCTTTTGTAACATTATACATGTTTATACTGTCACGTTTAAATAAATCCTTGCTAAATAAAATTATTTGTTTCTTAATAAAAAAAAAAACTCTTAATGACCCCAAATTTAGCGTAGTGTAGCTTAATAACGGGACTTGAAGTCTCAAGTAATCAATGTCCCTGACCTCTTTGCCACGTGGTCCTGGTGCGCCCTGCATTCCCTGAGAGCCCTGAGGCCCCTGTTCTCCCGGAGGTCCATTTGGACCAGGCCTCCCAATGGGTCCAGGTGATCCCTTAAATCAAATACCCAAGTAAAATCACTTCACTTGGAAAAAGCCTGGAGTGGAAGCTGACAGACTTAGTGGTTTTGCTGGATGCATATGAACCATTATCAATATTTAGCACTTACATGTTCCCCTTTTGGCCCTATTGGACCCTCAAAACCAACTGGACCAGGATGGCCCTACAGCAGAGAGAGGTGAATAAACTGTATGTTAATTCATGATGAATTTTACTAAAACAAGAAAGGGTAGCTAATGCATCGCACTTTAACAAAAATCTCCAGTACTTCTGCTATGCAAATATTCCCACCTTTGTTAAGAACATACTGAACCAGAGATTAAGTTGCTTTTATTTTTGGTAAGATGCCCAAGAAAAGAGGAAGTTGATTCAGGGAACTCAAACAAGAAGCCTCCTAATAGCAGTTAATTCTGCATATATTGAAATGAACCGACCTGTGGTCCATCCAATCCTACAGATCCAGGGTCACCTGAAGGTCCTCGCAAACCCTAAAGAAGAGCATTATAAATCAAATGCTTAATCCCATGTGTTACGTAACCTGATTTAGTAAATTGAAATGCTTACAATACCTGCCCTCCTTTCTCTCCTGCTTGACCAACCATTCCACTTGTTCCCAGTGAACCCTGAAGAACAGCAGAATATGATCAGAATCTCAGATTGTAACTTTCTTTTAAAAGTCTTTGAAAAATATCATAAAAATTAAATAATCAAAATGAGGGGTACCCACTCACTGGCAAACCAATTTGTCCTTGTTTTCCCTGTGGCCCCTGAGGCCCCTGGCTCCCTGAGAGGCCTGACTTTCCAGCTACACCTTCAGTCCCTGGCAGTCCGGAGGGCCCCTGAATTGACACACACACACACACACACACACACACACTCACATGTAATGTAAAACAATTTGTCAAATGCTATGACCACTGGACAGTTAACAGTGCTGACTGCTACATCATGGTGCAAAAAGCATAATATTCATCAGCATCAGGCCATCAGGTTATTTTATAATTTATATAAAATATATGGAAATTAATATATGTGCATTTCAATACAAAATACACATACTATTTAATATTATGTATGATATAATATACACACAATAAATGGTCTATTATACATGAAGATATATAAACAGAAATATTATGAAATATTACAATTTAAAATAACTTATTGCACTTAAATTTATTTCTGCTTCTCAAAAATCGAAATGTATGATTCAAACTGAGGGCTACATACAGGCAGTCCTTGCAAGCCAGCAGGTCCTGTTTCCCCTTGGTGACCCTAAAATTTTTTTGAAGCATTATTAATAACCCTTCTGAATATAAAAATAGTGCTATTCAATTATTTGGCTCTATGAATGGAGAAGTTACTTCACCGGTGGTCCACGTGGGCCCCTCTCACCAGGTGGGCCTGATAAACCCTTACAAGTTTAACAAGATAACAATTGTTTTAGAGAAGAAATGACCAAAATGTCATCACATTAATGATACTTAATGACATGCAAATCAACTTACAGGTGGCCCTCTTTGCCCTGGTGGACCCAGAGGTCCCCTGATGCCAGGTTCACCCTGCAGATGCACATTCACACAATATATGTGATACGACATCCAGAATGCTGAGAGAAAAATTCATTGTAAAATATTTACAGCAGAAAGTTCTAACCCTCTCTCCAATGTGACCTAGCTGTCCACGAAGGCCTGTGGCTCCAGGATAACCCTGAGAGCAAGAAAACAGCATATAGAATCAAATCCCTGCTACAAGCTGATCATGAATTTTCATGTCAGTCTAGACTGGTTTATGCAGGACAGTGCCACTTACATACATGCCTACAGGCCCTTGAGCACCTGCAATGCCTGGTTTTCCAGTAAAGCCCTGATATCAAACATACACAGCAATGATACATGTGAACACGGTGTATTATTTACATTATTAATGTTCTGACAGCAATACAAAGCTTTGAGAGGCTTACCTTCTCACCGGGAGGGCCTTGGATGCCATCCTGGCCTGGTCGTCCAGGTGCGCCCTAATGAGAAGAGAAACCGTGAGCTGGTGATAAACAGTTGTGTTTTCAGTCGATGTTAGTGAACAAGAACAAATATAGTTATGAATTTTAAATTCTGTGATGGTAAGGAAAACATGAACAATATTTTACTTTACATTTTGAGGTTTGACTACTTATTTTTAACAGTCCTAGCAATCAGCTTGTCCTGTTGTTATGCTCACCTGTGAGCCTGGAGGGCCTTGTTTTCCTGGTTCTCCAATCATGCCCTTCAAGCCCTTTAGATGACAAAGATTACAGAAGATATTTGATATATGACATAAAAATGAGTGAAAGACTGGAAAAGTCCACAATGAACATCGTTTGATGTAAAAGTAATACAAATATTTAATGATTGTGAACTGTTTCTAAGCCAATAATCAAACTTGTGACATGAACCTGTTAACTCCTTTTAGATTAAAATATTATTTCTTCCACTTAAAGATGGCCTTTGGATCTTCTTAAATGATGCTAGATCACATCATCATCAGGTTTTACACAACCTTGTTCATGCAGCTCATGTGCTGCTATCAATAAAGCAAAAAAGAGACAAAATAAATACTACATATCTAACTTATAAAACACGTTTCAGGCTCTTGCTGTCATGCTGAAACAGCTCATTGCTGCATGACAGAAGAACCAACCCAACTGGATGTTTAAGACCTCGTTAAGTTTAATACTCTTTGATCTTTCTGACCTTGACATGCCTGTATAAAGCGTTTCTCCTCCTTCTGAGGTCTAATGTTGGTAATAGCTCTTTTAGAGAACTATCTGTTATCATTATTGACCAGTCTTTACAAGCTTTTATTATAGCAGCAGTCTGATTTCAATTGACTAATATATCTCACAGAATAATTTGGTTGATGAGGAGAAACATACATCAGGTCCTTTATCCCCTGGGCTTCCAACAGAACCAGAAACACCCTGCAAGACAGATACATAAATTCAACAGAATTTTAATGTCTTACTTTGCTGCAATGGTAAAGCAAAGATTCATATATGATAAATCACTATGAATGTTATAAAAAAAAAAACTTGATATTAAATGTATGAAATGGGAACCTGTGTACCAGGCTTTCCTTCTGGTCCCTCTGCACCAACTGGACCTCTTAAACCCTGCAAAAATAGCAAAGTATATATGATCAAATCAATAAAGCGTGAACTAAATAAATCTGGACTCAATTTACTCAAATTCAATTCCCCTACCACTATTCCAGGTACACCAGGGGGACCATGTTGGCCTGCTCGACCCTGAGCACACAGAAACAACATGGGGGAATGTGATCAAACGATACAAGACGACTTATTTACATTCTGTTTATTCATGATATATTCATGAAACAAAACATGAGACCACAATAAAAAAAATCTAATTCAAGCAATTGGAACTGGAAATTTTATCTATACAATTTTTAGAATAAAACTATTAGATGGATTTTAGATGCATTTGCAAGTAGATGCATTTTCACTGGTGGTCTCAAGATTTTTCAGACTTTTATATGAAACAAATAGTAAATTTACTCTTGATCCTCGGAGTCCTGTTCTTCCATGATCCCCAGGTTCACCCCTACTGCCCTTTGTTTCAAAAAGAAAAAAATAAACCGTAAGGAAGAGATGTTACTGATTTACAGTAGGTGCATATATTAATAGGACAGAGTGAAAGGGCCTTTGGGCAGCATTGTGTTTTAAAAGGAGCAATCACAGGTGGATTGATGTAAAAGGGTGAGCTATTAGAAAGTTTTTGGTGATTGCTCCACCTGAAAGTCATAAAGCACTCTGACCTTTTGACCCTCTTTTCCAAGCGTTCCCTGAGGACCCACTTCACCATCTATACCCTGTGGGGGGGAAAAAAGCGTGAGAGAAAAACAAATGTCTTTTGCCAAGAAATCTTCTTTTGAAGATTATGCCTGTAGTGCATATGAAGAATATGAAGTAAGGCATACTATAGAGAATCTTCTGTGAAACTGTATACCTGGATACCTGGAGCACCTGGCTGACCTTTGACACCAGGTAAGCCGGGGAGGCCTGGCTGGCCCCTCTCACCCTGAGGACCCATGATCCCTGGCGCTCCTTTTGGTCCCTAAAAACACACAGAAGATTAGAATCATAAACAGGCAATTAACTGAATCTTCCAATTATGCGTTTAAAACTTTAGAATTTTTTAATGTATTGTGTTGAATTTATTGTGTGCTGGTGATTACTTTTATCCCCTTGGGTCCTCGGTCACCTTTCTCTCCATCCGGTCCTCTATTGCCCTGAATTAGAGGCATTCATTATTGGGGTAATATATGATAAAGGACATATATTCACAAATATTTACTAAAATGTCCAATAAATACAGTGAGATTTAAATCAGATCTCTTACTGTGACACCTAGAAAGCCTTTTGGACCTGGATCTCCAGTTGCACCCTAAATAATTCATTGATTGATTGGTTGAATGAATGGTATCTTCTAACTACAACATTTAGCATACTCATTTTTCTGAATTCTCATCAGACAAAAAAAAAAAAAAAAATCACTAAAAAGGACCAATCATATTATTGTATTACCAAAACATGGTTTAATTTTTTTTCAAGGCATCTGTAGTGAAAGCATTTTTCTAGCCTGCCAGAACACAGCAGCAACTTGCAATATTGCTGGGTGAAATTTAATGGAGTTTTAAAGTCAGAGTGACTTTATTCAGTCCAAATATGCATCTCTTGTATGTTAATCAGTTACAACATATACAATGCATAAAATGTTTTCTATTGGTTGCTGAAGGCCTGTTGTATGAGTTTATAAGTAATTGTATAAATGTTTTCCTCTAGCTTACATTTATTTTTTGACAAACAGACTCACCATGGGCCCTTCAATGCCTTGTAGCCCTCTGTTACCTGCTGGACCCTCTGGCCCCTGACCACAAACAAAAACATCTAGGGCATCCATTTCATAAACACATAACACATGTAATTGTACATATTCTACATGTACACAGGAAAAGTTTTAAAACTTACTATGTAACCTCTGAGACCCTGTGGACCAGCCTGACCTTTAAGTCCCTGTGGAAAAAACATCCATGAACAATCTTACTTCTGATTAAATGTCACAAAAGACCCATATTTTGTGTGTTTTTCCTACTTTTTTAGTAGTTGGAATATATGCATTTCTACAAAAATGTACCTGTGATCCTGAATGACCAGGTGGGCCTCTATCTCCCTCGATCCCTCTAGGCCCCTAGGAGGAACAATCAGAACAGGGTTTGCGTTATTTCAGCCTCTGTGTATTCTCTAAGAACAGACTTCATGAAACAATGACACAAAACAATGTTGTATACCTGAGGGCCTTTCCGCCCCACAGGGCCAGCAGGTCCAATATCCCCCTGTAACAGCAAAAGTGTTTTGGTTTATAACCAAGTCAATCAACTTGCAATCAGATTTCAAAACTTGTAGGTGGAATACTCAGACAATGTTGTCTTTCTTTGATAGTTTGTACTAGATCTGGATTATTTACTCGTCCTCTTGTTGTTTCCTAACGCACTTGACATTTTTTCTTCTGTTAAACAAAGAAAATATTTTGAAGAATGTTGGTAATGAAACCAACATTGGTTCCCATTGCCTTCCATTTTATGGGCAAGAAATACAATGGAAGTCACTGGGAACCAAAACGGTTTGGCTACAAACATTCTTCAAAATATCTTCATTTATGTTCCATAGTAGAAAGTCATATGGGTTTAGAACAACATGAGGGTGAGCAAATTTTTGGGTAGACTATCCCTTTAAGCAATGAACCTGCACTACAAATTCAGTAAGCAAGTGTCAATCACTTACTTCTGAGCCATTAACACCTTGTGCTCCAACCAATCCTGTAGCACCTGGTGCTCCCTGGCAAGACACAATCACATAACTGAGCATTATTAAGCAGGATCCATAAAAATCTCTCTGTTAAGAGTGTTTGTTACTCTTACGAAAACTTGAATAAAGAAAGTTCTTCAAACTATGCTTCATCCAAGTAAAAAATTATAAAATGGATATTCGTTATAACCAAAAAGAAACTCTTTTTGGGAAAACTGAATTGAGGACAGTGATTATTTCTTATTAAAAAAGGGGTTATTAATGACTCACTACTGTCCCTGGAGGACCACGTTTTCCATCATTCCCTGGATCCCCCTATGAAAACAAAATGTTTATACTTACTGTCAAGATGAATGTAAAAATATGTTAAAATAAATTGTGAATTAAATTAATCACCTTAGGACCAGGTGGCCCAGGAATCCCTTGAAAACCTTGTAAACCAACCGGTCCCTTTAAAAAAATGTTTTATATATAAATATATCTAAGGATACTAACACAAGTTACTAGTAATAATATTTAAAAGTAGCAGTTCAAGAATATGAAGTGATTTACTCACTGGAGGACCAGAAAAGCCAGTAAACCCAATGTCTCCTTTTGAGCCCTATAAATATATATACATATATAAATAAAAGGAAAATAACAAAGGCATAACCAATCATGGATTTTTCAAGATCTACATTACAACTTCAAAAAAAATAATACTTTTTAGTGGTAGTGTCCCCTCCTGATCCACTAGAGGGCAGTATAGGTATTAATTTTCTATACTGTATATACACAGTACATACAAATTAAATTAATTATAAATACTTCAGATGCAGGTTTCCTTACCTTCTGGCCAGTCTGTCCATTGTCTCCTCTGGGGCCAGGAGCACCAGGAAAACCCTGCTCGTGGAGGCAGAAAAACTGCTTTATGTAGAGAAGTATATTAAAATCCTGTGTGAGGCAGTTACAGGGGAGTGTATTTCAGAATATTATGTTGCCTCATGATGTACCTCATCTCCTTTCTCACCAGGGGGCGCTGTGTCACCTTTGTAACCATGAGGACCCTTGATCCACAACCAGAAATATAAAACATATGGTTTCCCGCAATTGAAGTACATATGTTCCACAGCTACAATTTATAGCTTTACAGAATCTATCCAAAAACATTACCATATTCACACTAGTGTCCCAACTTGAACTTTTACAACTACAACAAAAGCTACTGTAGACGTCCCATGCCCTCAGTCTCACCTGTAGACCAGGGACACCTGGAGATCCTGTCGCTCCATCTGGACCTTTCTCTCCATCTCTTCCTTGAGTCCCTGCTCGGCCTCGAACACCCTTGGGTCCAATGCCACCCTATTATAAAGTGCTTGCTTGTAATGAAATCCATTAGGTACTTTACATAAATCTGCACTAATGTTTAAAGGTATGGGGTCAGTAAGATTTTCTTTTGAATTTTTTTTTATACTTTTATTCATCAAAGATGCATTAAACTGATCAAAAATAAAGAGTGTTACATTGTTACAATCAAACTCTTTTTCAAATAAATGCTGTTTTTGAACTTTATATTCATCAAATAATTTTGAAAAAAAAAGTAGTTTCCACACAAAAAAACAAACAAAAAAATATTAAGCAGCACAACTGTTATCAAAATTGATAACAATAAGAAATGTTACTTGAGCACCAAATCAGCATATTAGAATGATTTATGAAGGATCACGCGACACTGAAGATTGGAGTAATGGCTGTAAAATTCAGCTTTGCCATCACAAGAATAAATAACATTTTAAATGTATTAAATAGAAAACAGTTATTTTAAATAACAATAATTCATAATATTACTGTTTTTGCTGCATTTTTTCATCAAATAAATGCAGCTTTGGTTAGCATAAGACACTTCTTTCAAAAATCTAAAAAAAAAAATAAAAAATCGTATTGACCCCAAACTTTTTAACAGTAGTGTACCTCATAGTAACATTTAACTGTTGTTGAAGATACCAATGAACTCTCATGGCTATTATAAACACACACCCACACACACACACACACACCCACACCCACACACACACACACACACACACAAAAACAGAGATACTGTAATGAATAGGTACCATATCGCCTCTTCGGCCTGGTGGTCCTGTCTGACCTGGGTCTCCAGGTAACCCCTTCAGAAATAAATCAAATCACAGTACTATATACCAACATGCTAAACAGAAAGACACTCAAATTGAATCGGTTTGTAACATCATTTCATCATCTGTCATATTATGGTAAACCGTACTAGTGCACAATGACCTTCAATTCGTTCATACTCTGCAACACAGGTTCTGCAACAATTCAGGCTGCATTAAAGATGTTCTGTATGTTTGATTGTGTACTCACAGGTAAACCTGGTCTCCCCATCTCACCCACTGGTCCAGGGTGTCCTGTCTGTCTCTGCAGGACATCAGAGAGAAAGGGTTTAGTGAGAGAGACCACATGCATATATTATAATGATGTTTTGCTAATTTATTCTACTTTCAAATACTTACTGGCCATCCAGCTGCCAGCAACTGGTAATAAGATGTTCTCTATAAAAACAAACACATAGTATGAACAGTCACATAACATTTACTGCATCACAACATTGTTGTTGTTCACTAAAACCAAAACTAAAACTATTAAAAATAACTTAAACTTAAAAAACAAAAAACAAAATTAGAATATAATATTAAAGTTGAAGTAATAAAAATATTCAAATTGAAATAAAAATAAATGAAAACTAAATAGAAATAAAAATGACAATAGCATATCACAAAATTACTAATACTAAAATTAAAATGAACACTGAAAATGTACAAATAAGTTAATTCAAAATATTAATAAATACAATAATAGTACATAAGAACATAATAAACAATACCAAAACAATGCTTATACATGTTTCAAACACATATATTTTTTAATGTATTTATTTTATTTTATTGTTTTGTGACTGTTTAGGCTGTCTCAATTGACTCATTTACTCCCACATGTGGCATTCACTATGTAATGAATATTAAATGAGCAAACAAACAAGCGGTTTCAGACCCAGCATATGCATGAATGCATAAATACAATTCAGACCGCATACGAGAGATGATGGGAAATGTTGTACCTGACTGGCGTTAAGAGGAAGAAAAAAAAAAACTCTGCTCAACAACAAATCCTCAATCTAAACTCTTATAACACTTAATGCCTGTATGTTTCAATTCATCTCTATAAGAAACACAAACTAGGGAGTGTTGAAAGGCATCTCTCCTGTTCAAATAGAGGAGAAGAACTGAGGGACAGTGTCCGCTGTCTCTGCAGTGTGGGCTGGAAAAGCTGAGGCCTTGAACCCACATAGACACACAGTCTCTGTCACGCTGTTATTAAATCACCCAGGCCACCTCCGCTTTATACAACATTTGTCTTGGCACATGCTCAATTTGGCAACAGGGCAGAGTTTGGCTCACTGCTGATCCAGTGAAGGTGAGTTTAAGAGAAGTTGGGGAATCGGACCTCCCAGTGCACTTGCCTTCCGCATGCCCCACTGAAACAGAGAGATCTAAACATCTGTCAAAACCTCCTCACAACACTGCAACCATTATACTGAGTGCAACCTGGGTAAACAGTAAAGCACCATCAACACAAACAATGTCTGTAAGGATTCAGTCTACAGTATTTCAAAGACAAATCGTCCCTAATCACTACAGAATCAGTCCCATTCAGCCACATCCATCTAAACATGACATATGCACAAGGGACAAATTATATAAATCAGAGATGAAACAGTTGGAAAACGGTGGAAGGCCTGGAGGCGACCATTAAAAGCCTTAAAATGTACAGTTAACACTTAAACATTGTAAGAATTTAATGATCTAAAAAAAAAAAAATAGCATTTAAATATTTTTTTATCATTGATCATAGTGACAAAAATCTAAGAAAAAAAAGGTCAAAAAATATTTTAACGTCATTTATTTATTTAATAAAAAATGACAATGTAGTGAAGATTTATATGGAAAATTGGGTTAATAATTTTTGCCAAAAATATGTACAAAATAAATTGACTTCATTTTCCTAAAGAATAGCCAAATTATACATTACACCATACGAAATCTGATCTTCCATATTGAAGCACTTAAATAACTTCCCTGATGAACTGGGCTAAAATAAAATTCACATACAGTAATGGCTTTTTCGTATAAATTATCAAATCAAATCATCCTTTAAGTGAAGGTATTTCAAATGGTGAAACCTGTGGGGCAGCACAGAAAAGACATGGTCTTAGAATGTACATAGAGTCTCACTCTTTATGAAAAGTACAACTCCCTCACCTACCACCCATGGCTCAATACACACACGACTCCTCTTTGGAGCACTAAACTCATCCATCATGTTCAAGGATTCTGCCAAATGATGATGAAAAAACAACATTTGGAGATTCTCCACAAAAAACTAAACAAAACAAAAACATTAAATAATACCAAGTTGCCACTGCACTATAATAAGCAGATATTCACAACCATTTTGAGCTATGAGAATCTACAGGGAGGTCAAAACTGAGGTTTTACAATTACACTTAAATATATGCTCAAAAATAGAGAGTCACAAATAGATAGAATACGAGGTCTGGCAGGAACATTGAAAGCCTGGTTCATCCAGCAGTTTGAAAGACACAGGGCAGTGGCTCACTGCACCACATTCATGTTTGGTAGGGATGGGCAGGATGATCGACTAATTTATCTAGATTCATTCAATTTTTGCCAGTTTAGCTGATTTAAACTGCGGTACATGACGTCTATGGCTTGTCAGACTACAAACAGTGAAGCCTAACCTATAAAAGATCCTCCAGAATATGGCGTATTAAGGCCTACCCTAAATGCAGCCCAATCCTCCTCTGTGTTCCTCCAAAGGTAGAGGACTGGGAGTCCTGGTGGACCTGGAGGTCCTGGTATGCCCCTTGGCCCATCTGCTCCTCGGACTCCTTGAGAACCCTTATAGGACATACAGGTACAAATCAGTGTGATGCCATCCTCGCAGAACAATGTAATGAGTTGTATGAAATGTAAATTCCTCACCTTATCACCCTTGTATCCAATATAGCCCCTTTTCCCTGCACACCCCTGTGCAAACAACAAAAGCAATCTTAAACTGAGGGTCCTGCATATGAAGTAACTTTCTGGGACTTTGGCATTTATAAAAAGCATTTCATCACAACAAAGTGTGAGGTTACTGTCATCAACCATCATTCTTAGTTTTAGAGGATTGGCTTTCACGTTCAAATGTAAGCATGGACATCATGACACAGTAGAAGACGTCCATAAGACTCATGAGTCAATTCAAATTTATAGGTCCATGCCCTTTTTAATCTTATGTATATTACGTAATGCGACACTCTCAGACATGCCAATTTGTAGAGTGCTGCCAAACCGCAAACCCTGCAAAGTGCACATTTAGAACTACGGCCTTATATTTGGGTTTCATACTGGAAGGCTATCATTCAGAAAAGGGCAGATGTAGTAATGTATGGTTACAGATGTGAAGCATAGTCAAAGGAATGCTCGTCTATACTCCATTAAAAGATGAAAAGATCACATAACATTCAGATTTCGGCAATGACGCATTTTGAAATATGACCAAAATATGTTTGATTACATAGTGACATTAAGAATTAGTTTTCAGACTAGCTTAATGTGACGAGTTCATAACGGGTCTGTTTGTAGCTCAAACAACAAACACTGGCAGTGGACCGTTTTTGCGGATGAAATTTCACTAATGTGACCATGCCTTCAGTCTGCTACCAAATAAAAATGCCACTACTTTCAAGTCTATAGTTTCATTCAAACACAACTGTGTCCCAGTCATTGATTGTAGTGAAAATGACCTCAGAAGGCTTCAGTACTAATTTTAGACTAATGTAATTTTGTTGCAATTATCATCTTATTGCTTGGCCAATAGTTTTGTACATTCAAATGGACTATTTTTTTTTTTAAAGAATATACAAGTAAATTTATAAAATAATTTAAACCCTTAAATTAACCCATTTAATTCATTTGAATGTAATTATTTCTATACATTACCCCTCTGAAAAGAGATTCACCACTATAATAAACTTAAATTAGTGTTTTCTATGGCATATATAGAAATTAATTTCAAGTTTTTTGGATACAGATTCCAATTTGGCACGTTACAGTTAGAAAATCACGGAAAACATTTCATCAGGATTTTAGTTGTGGTAACTCACTCTTTTGCCTGGTGGTCCAACAGGCCCTGGAGGTCCACTGAGGAGCTGGTATCTCCTTCCATCCTTGCCTAATATAACATCACCATGTTTAAATGCAACTCTTTTCTTGCTTGAGTGCTTGTAGTCAGCTTGTCCACTGCCTACAAGCGATTCATATCCTTTTTTTGAGTGAACACTGACCAAAGGCTTTTTAACTACATCAAAGCTCTCTGAAGGAAGTAAGAAACCTTCTTCAGTCAGCTGGTTTAACTCAGGATGGACCGTAGGCCTGACCAGATCCTTTTGACCAGCTGATGTCTTCACATTCAAAATAGAATCCAGGTCAGCAATGTCCCTAGAGGGCTTCAAAGGGAGCCGCTCAAAACGGCCTTCACCCAAATCGGTTTTCAGTTTTTGAGAGGCGAAGTTCTCCTCTGATGATTTCAAGGTGGTGGACTGGATCTTTTTGTCACTGGTGTCCTTATACCTGCTATGTGTGCTGATGGCGGGAGACGTGAGAAGGTCAGACTCGTCCACCACTACAAAGCCACGAAGTGAATGCTTTGAAGTTCTGTTCAGATAAGACGAAATATCCCATTTACTATGAAGATCTTCATTCTTAGAGACACTGGAGTTCTGGAAGAGAACAAAATAGACTGAGGAAATTTTTGCATGACAAACAAGATACATTAATAAAATGCTAAGGGGATAATCCATTACGTCATACTCATTAATCATCTGCAATCCAGTTTAACCGGGTACAATGCTGCACTGTGGGTATTTAAATCATTTCAATGTTATTCCTTACAGCACAAAGTGTTTGCACCCTATTCACTGAAGTCAGTGCTACTTAGCTGGTAAGTATAATGATTGCATTATTACTGTCCAGAGAAAGCAGGTGGAAAACCAAATTCCATCTAAGAAAAAAATGTTTGTGTATATTTTTTATTGATCATGGCAGCAGTTATTCTAATTAAAATATCTAATCGTGGAGAAAAGCATCCAAAACATCCAGACAGGATGGAATTGAGCACCCTTTCTGCATTTTCTGTTCAAACCAGAAACAAGTGCCAGATGATCACCAAATCAGGTACAATAAAAATTAAGTGCATATTGCACAAAGCAGAAAAATTATCAATTGCGATAAGGTAATGGCCTACACGTGATTCTGAGCTCAGAGACCCAGAGGCTCCATGTCTTCCTCTCTTTCTCTAACAATAAGCTACAGAGAAAGAGCAGTCAGGCACTTGACACTGTAAGGCGGCTGCCTCAGAGGAGAGGGACACTTGATCCTCTCAAGGGTGACACAGCTCCCCAAATAATTGTTTTACCCTCCTCAGTGCTACAGGTTACATCTTTGGCTAGAACTGTACCAAACACTGGAACAACTCCTGTGAGAGAAGCTGGAGCAGAACCAGATGCTACAAGACACAATTACACTTTGTTCAGAAGATCAGCCAGTGGGATGTTTGAGAGGACGTGAGTAGATGTTCTGAATATTCCGTGTTTAGGTTTAAATGGGTTTAAATAGCTAGTTTCTACAATAAAACACCAAAAATGTTACTCCATTTGACTCATACTTTATTGTTGAAAGGTTTGGGTACAATACGTTTTTTTTTTGTTGTTGTTGTTTTTTTAGAGAGAGAGAGAGAAATTAATTGAGTTTAAAAAATAAATACAAAACCTATCCTAATTGAAAGAAAACAAGTTGACAATAAGATTGAATCCAATATTTGGTGATAATACAGCATAATGAGAGACTTATAAGCTATTTTTTGTAGATCAGTCATTTTTGTGACTTTGTTCCATTTTGTACAATATAAAACCATTTCAAAACAAACTTCATGGTTAAACATTAGAGCACACTAGTGTGATAAACAGAGTAATTTTTACAAAATTATCCACAAATAATGCTTTTTTTCCACTCAAAAACTGAAATACATAAGCTCAGATCAATGAGGCCTAAGATCAATCAGTTCTAAAAAGAAATAAAAAAAATCTGTCCTAATTGAAAGAAAACATGTTGACAAAAAGATTGAACCCAATATTTGGCGATACTAAAGTGTAAAAAGAGATTCATACGCTATTTTTTGTAGGCCGGCCATTTTTGACCACAAGTGTAACAAGGTGGGGTAAACAATCCAAGTACAAAAATTATCCCAAAAATTTGGGAAGTAGTTATACCCTGTGTGATCATTTTCAGGAAAAACAAAATCCTCTCCAGATCAAAATAACCCAAACACAATGTAAGGGTAAAGCAAAACATTTGACAAAAATAAGTTTGCAAGGCTTTAAACTATATAGACATTTGTTTAAAATTAAGACAAACTTTGCAGTGAAATACACCTTTGGGCAGGTGTGAACTACAACATCTGTGTGAACCCCAAGGAAACTAACTTCATACATCTACTAAAATGACCCTGAGACAAGTTATTTGAATAGTCACAAAAATGGCTCCGAAAAGTGAAGCTAGTTCTGAGAAAACTTCAGCATCGTTTGCAGATGCCACTTCCATTTTCACTCTTCACTACACTGTCATTTGTGGTTTACCATCAGTTATTTATATTCTATCAAACGATGACACTTCTGGTTAGATGCAGTTTCATTGGCTCTGTACAGTACTTGACAATGACAATAAATCGGTTTCAAACTGAAACTCTATAATGCTAAAGATCTAAAACTGAAAGTGACTGAGACATCAGTATCAGATCTTCCAGTGAGAAGGTCATAACTACTAACTTTACAGATAAAAACTGGAAAAGAGACTGGAAAATGATAAAGCACAATGTCAGAGTTTGGAACTCGAGGCCCAGGGAAGGATAGTATGAGTGTTGATCACGGCTGACCCAACAGTGAATAATGAAGAGAGACACCATAAATCATGGTTAAGACACAGGTATGAGGGAAATCCTTGCAGGTCATTTGTTGAGGGCAAATCTGACACTCCCATCAAGAAACTCACCTGGAACATTTTTGTGGATCATCAGAAAGGAAATCAGGGTGCAACTGGTAAAGAAGAAGAAAACTAGACAGTATACAGTTTACTTGGCTACCAATGACCTCAGCACCTCAGGTCAATCAGATTATCTGGACCAAAACACCCACTTAACATGTTGTTCACCATCAATTTTATTGATGTCTTACGATCTCCTTAACCTCCATTCAAACTGCAGTTCCCAGTCCATTTGCCCTCTTAGTTTATCCCTGTTCAGCAAGTGAACATGTTCACAGGAAGGTCTCCATTGCTGATTTATGAACGATGAGACAAAGAGCTCTTAACTCACCTCTCTGAAAGTTTAGACACGTCAACTAATACAAGAGCCGTCTAAACTCAATACAATGTGATATTATACATTTACACTTTTGTCTTTAGAATAAACAAGCCGAATATTAGATAAAAACAGATCATAAAACAACTTTTAATATATAAAAAATTGTGCACGATACTTGCGCTAAACATCCAAACAAAATCTGACCATCTAATAATGAATAATGAAATGAAGCACAATTAAAAAGACAGACATGTATTTGTTTCCTACCATGGCTTTCCATTTGCCCTCCACATGCAATCCAAGCAGAAGCAGATCTAGTACAAGGTAACATCCCATAAAGACACAGCACACCATGATTGCTGGAGATACACACTGCACCACAGTCTCTGTATCCCTGCTAAAGATCCCAGACAGTGCAAGCTTTCTCCAAGTGCCCTCCCAGAGAGAGAACCTCCCAGACACAGGAGCTGTGCCCAGGCTTCACCCACTCAAGCCAACTAAGCCATCAGGCAGCCATTAAGATGAACAGCACCCAAATAAAATGTGCAACAGCCACTTGTCCTATTTGAATCATGTCTGCAGAACAAAATGAGCTATTAGGTTATCTTGAGGGTGACAGGATATACACCACTGTTCAAAAGTTTGGGGTCAGTAAGATTTGTATTTATCTACTTATTTATTTTGAAATAAGGCTCTTATTTTCACTAACGCTGAATTTATTTGATCAAAAATACAGTAAAAATAATAATACTGTGCATCCTTGCTAAATAAAAGTATTCATTTCTTTAAAAAAAAACAAAAAAAAAACTTCTGAGTCAAAAGCTATATAAAGCTCTATTACATGTCCCTCGGTCACGACTTAAATTAAAAGGAGACAGAGCCTTTGCAGTCGCTGCCCCACGTTTGTGGAATCAGTTGCCACCTGACATTAGGAGTGCTTCTTCGGTTTCTATTTTCAAGTCCAGACTTAAGACACATTTTTAATCTCTCGCCTTTCCGGGCTATTAATTGAATGTGTAACTGTTGTTGTTGTCGCTATTCCTATTTTTATTATTATTATTGTTGTTATTTTAAATTTTACTCCATTTTAGAATTTGCTGTATTTTATTATTGGTTTTGTTCACCACTTTGGTCAGTGTAACGCTGAATTTTAAATGTGCTCTATAAATAAAACCTTTGAATGGTAGCTTATGTACTTTGTATTGGCTTCAATTTAAAATGGGATGAAACTGATGTCTTTTAAGTTGGGAACGCTCAAAGCTGCTGCAATTAAACTGAAAGAGTTTCATCCAAGAATAAAAAAATCTATCAACATTTACTCACCACGTCTTTTCTTAAGACTTGCTTTCTGCCATGGAACACAAAAGGAAATGTTTAGCAGAATGTTCATGTTGCTGTTTTCCATACAATACAAGTCAATAGTGAGCAAAGGTACAAAAATGTTTAAAAGCACACCATAAAAGTATCATAAAAGTGCTCCATATGACCCATGTGCTATATTCCAAGTCTTCTGTGACTAACAGAAAGCTAAATCACCCTCCACTGCAGATCTCAAATCTCATTTGGCCAAAATTGGTCATGAGACACATGAACCAATGACGTTTGGCATTACTGAAGTAAAACCTTTGACATGCTGTATTATCTGTGATATTGAGAACATGCATGACATTTGAAAGCTACAGTGGTGAAGATTGCCAATGGATACATTTCAGTTTTTCCTTAAACATAGTGACTGGTTTCAAAAGACTTGAAATATAGTACGAGTCATATGGGCTACTTTCATGTGCTCTGTCAGTTTTAGAGCTTAACAGCTTGATAGATAAGAGAGACAAAAAGGACACATGCTTGGAAACTTCATATCAAAGCCAAATTAGAACCTACTTTAGATTTTGCATAAACAAAGAATTTCTCCGTCACTGCTGAACCGTGACAAATAGAAAACACATTCAGACAACTGAAGCCTGCTGAGACTGACACACACACACACACACACAAAAGCAGCAGAGAAGATACAGATTTATGAAAGCACTGGTGAACCATCAATTAGAAATTACAATTTGTTCCAGAAATAAACTTGATGAGGTTAGTTAAATTCAAAGCAAGTTTTTAAGCAGACCTCCAGCTCTCAGAATCAAAGCAGTGGGATGCTGCGTGACCACAAGGTCATCAAAACAGAGAGGATTAGTGGTAATGGCTGCCATAGTAACAGAGGTAACTCAAGGAGATCAATCACAGATGAAGACTCTCTTGCTTGACTTTCCTGTGGGACCCTGACTCTGATGTTTTCTCAGTTTCACTGGTGGTGGGTGTTGGAAGTCATGATTCCAAACAGCCTAATTAATCAAGCAGCAGAAATCACAAGGA